TCGCGTAAAATAAAAGGCAAGCCATGGCATGTGCCCTCTGTTCTTTCCCTTTTTTTTCGGCACTTAAGAATTCTTGCTTTTCCACCGAAAATTGTGTTCTCGGGAGAGTGTTGAAAAATGCATGGCAGGCAGGAAGTTGGATTGGCGTGCCAAAGGAGCAAAAAGGGGGCCAGGATATTACAAGGATAAAATCCCTGCCAAGAACGCTGACGATGATGATGATGATGACGGCGGCCGTGTCAGGCTTAATGTTTGCCCTCATTCAGGACGAATACAGGATATGCACGCGCTGTTCCATCTCATTTTCATATAGCCATAATGTCCTGTGAATGCATAACATGCATTTACGGAGGCATGAAAAATTTAAGTTTAATTAAGCGTTCATCCCGAGGGCCCGCGACGGACCCAAGGACCCACGGACATCGCATCCTGCCAGCTAGCTCTGTGACATCCTGTTCCCATTTGTGATGCTGCACCGTGCACACACCATTGTCCTTTCCGATGCCCGCATTGAATCCGCTTCCGGTGCAGCCGCAAATGTTGGAGAAGTGGGATAAACGGGCTCCGAAAGCCAGCCCACAGCTATCTACTGTACACAATGCCATTGGATTTGGGCACGTTCCAAGCTGCAAAACAGAAAAAATCCCGAACCCAACCCACTGGGAGTCCTTAGGTTGTTTAGAGGGCGGGGAATTGCTCAGCCTCCAGCGGCATTGTATTACAGAATTAAGCGCATCTGTAAGCGGAGAGCAGAGCATTCGTTTTGATTTCAGGTTCAAACGATTTGATTCTCTTCTTGTTTTTGGGTTATATATCTTTACCTTGGGTGCTGTCACCTGAATAAAGGGAAAATGATTGAATAACCTATTTTTTTTTTTTTTTAAAAAAAAAAAAATTATATTAATTTAAAAAAAAAAAAAAAAAAAAAAAAAATAAAATTTAAAAAAAAAATTAAATATTTTTTTTTTTTTTTTTTTTTATAGTTTTTTTTTTTTTTTTTTTTTTTTTTTTTTTTTTTTTTTTTTTTTTTTTTTTTTTTTTTTTTTTTTTTTTTAATTTTTAAATTTAAAAAAAAAAAAAAAATAAAATTTTTTTTTTTTTTTTTTTTTTTTTTTTTTTTTTAAATTTTTTTTTTTTTTTTTCCCGCCCCCCCCCCCCCCCAACCCCCAAAAAAAAAAAAAAAATTTTTTTTTTTTTTTTTTTTTCCAATTTTTTTTTATTTTTTTTTTTATTTTTTTTTTTTTTTTTTTTTTTTTTTTTTTTTTTTAAAATTTTAAAAAATTTTTTTTTTTTAAATTTTTTTATTAATTTTTTTTTTTTTTTTTTTTTTTTTTTTTTTTTTTTTTTCCCCCCCCCCCCTTTTTGTTTATTTTTTTTTTTTTGGAGGCAACCCCCCAAAACAGCCCTTCCCCCCTTTTTGGGTGGGGGGGGGGTATTGGATAGTGGGGACACCAACCCGACTATAGCGTTCTCTCTTGTTTATGTATATATAATGTCATCGATGGTATTAAGTTTCCTATCATGAAAAATCTTTCCCTATTATATCTACTAATATTGATAATATAAAGATTCCTTTCATTGCAATATTTTCTCCATTAATCATTATTTCAGATATTTATTTTTTAAGTATTAAACTTTTTTCTTGCAAAGTATGAGTTTAGTTTTGTGTTATATCATTTTCTCCTGGGGACTGTCACTTGGATATTGGCCGAAGGATTGAACCACCTATTTAATATATATATAATGTTATCGATAGTATAAAGTTTCCTTTCATGGAATTATTTCCTCCATTGATCATCATTTAAGATATTTATTTTTCAAGCTTGCAACTTTTCTGCAGAGTATGCCCAGTTTGAGCTTAGTTTTGCCCCCTTTTTCAGCATCGTTTGTCATGGTTTGCAGTCTGGGGAGCCTCTGAAATCTGAAAATCGATACGGAAGTGCTCCCGAGTCTCGCAAACTCTGGTTGCTGCCTCTAAGCTGCTTGTTCCGCTGCTGCTGCTGTTTTTCACGTAATTCTGCACGTACAGCGAATTTCGCTTGATTTTTTACCTTTTTCCGCCATCCTCGCAAACAATTTGATGCAATATTTGATTTAGTATTTGCACTCGCAATTGTCGCACTGATGAATCGTGGCAGCCACCTAGACATGCAATAAATATATGGGTGTCTATTTATGCTGTGTATCTAACTCGGTTTGCATACAATTTATTTGCGCCTGCAAACTGTTTGCCATGCATGGAATATATTTTGTTTACGAAAAGTTATTGCCTGAATAATTGAGGCAAGTCAACAAGTCAGAGAGTTATTATTTAAACATGAGAGCAGGGCGCAAAAAATTATACAAAAAAAGATAAAGAGTAAAATGCGAAACCAAAATATGTAAATACAAATTAATGGAGTACTTCCTGTCTGCATCCTTTTGAATGCCAGGCAGGCGGTAAATGTGAAATGTAAATGCGAATATAAATGTGAAGTGCATTAAACGCCCTGTCTGTGGATGCAACATTTCAATTACGTCCCAAACCGACCGACCACTGGCTTCCTTTTCTTCTTGGGTTTTCCCTCTTTTTTTGGTTTTTTTGGGCGGGGCTGAGCTGTTTTTCCAGGCGAAAATATTTCCATTTGCATTTTTTTGTGGGCCCACGCCGCCTGGGCTCAAGTTCACCCAGCTGCCAGCCGCAGATATATATACATATATATATTTCAAAGCCCCAGAATCCAGATGTCTGTAGAAAGGCATGCCCCATGTGGCTCGCCGACTTGTCTGATTACTTCCAATGTGTTTGGGAGCAACAAACAAATATATATATTTGCCCATTTAATTAAATCACTTGTGCGCTATTTGTTTAACATTTTTCCCGCTCATGTTCATGAACATTTACAATGTGCTAGCGATTTGATAGGGAAAATTCCTGGCGGCTGAATCATATGCAAAATATTTGGCTCAATTACAATGCGTGATTGGCTCTTTGCGTTTAATTAGCATAATTGCCAGGGAGAGCATCAATTAAACTTTGAAAACTACGAAAAAAAGGGAGGAAAGCTGTAATGGCCAAAGGAAACTTTATCGAGAGTTACACGGTCTGCCAGTTTGTCAAGTTTTTCGCTGGGGAAAACTTATGCCGAGCTGTGGAAATTGCAATTAGCTGTGTTGGTTAGGGTGCTCCCCCTATTTTCATTTTCCTTCTTGATTTGCCTGCAACACGCACTCGTCTCGGGAAAGCCATTAAACTTGCATAATTAGCACATTTTCAGCGTCGTTGGAAATCTTTAAAATCCGATTCGAAATCACAGACTTTGGCCATTTACATTTCGTTTTACAATGGCGAATCAATTTGGTGGCCATAAAAAAAAGAGGAAAACGTGCGATACTCGAATGTGGCAAAGTCAAATGCAACTTTGTACGTGCGGAATTGTTGTGGCCTTTAGTGGGTGGATGGGTTGGTGGGTGGAAAACCCTGATGGAAAACCGCGGTGGCAAACGGCAAACCGGTTTGAACAATGCGGGCATCCATCCAATAATTACGGTTAAACGGCCGCAGTGCCAAAAGCAGAATGAAAAGCACTCACGTGCCGTCGCGGTCAGGAAGTTGATGTGTCGCCATTGCGGACCATTTCCATTTGACTTTCCTGCAGGCAGCTCACTGGGGATCCTGCTCCTGTTATCCTGTCTACCTGTCTATATGTCTGCCACCACCATCCCGTTCAATCAATGGATTTTACAGCTGACTTGCCAGCATTATGGTAATCCATCCATCGACGCTCCTCTCCTCACTGTCATTTTTGGAAATGGTTTTTTGCACCCGGCGTAAATCATTCATTTCACTTGGCCCGGTTTTGGTCTTCTTTTTTTTTACGGCAAGAGTTTTGTGGTCCATCAGAACGTGCTGAATTTGCTCCATTTCAGTGTCTGCAAGTTGCACAACAAGCGTGCTGGGACGTATCATTAGTTACGTTGCAGAAAACACCCATTTCATACCCATCAGACTCAACGAGTAAATTGAAGTTTAAAATAAAAACTTTGTGGCATGAAGAACATTATTTACACAGCGATGTGTGTAGACAGGATCCTCCTACTCAGTCCTCCTCAACGACGCACATAAATGGCATATAAGCTTAGATGTGGCAAAAAGCATAGCAAAAGCAAAAGCAGAAGCAGAAGCAAAAGCCCCGAGAACAAAAGACACTGCGCGTAAAGACAAGCGCAGGAAAAATGATGACAAGTATATGTATTTTTGTGTGCACAGCAGAGGAGTGGGTGTGGATTTTTTATATGTGGATGGGGTTGTGGATAAGGTGAATGGCTGGGAGGAGGTAGGAGGACCAAGAGCTGCCAAAGGGTTAAAAATGTATAGAAATCAGGTCAATTGTTTGCAGGATGTTAAAAAAGTGAAGCCACTGGAAAACATGGCAGAAGAAAGTGCTAGTTAAGTTCAAGTAAGGGCACATAAAAGCTAAAATGTAGGGGGGCTAGGTAATTTCAGTTATCTTAAGGATATAATGGAACTAACGAGGAAGAAGATTACGAGGAAAAAGTAATTTTCATTACTTTAGTTCTCTATTGCTTTAAAATATACATTATTTTACTTGTTTCTTAAATTTGTTGATGGTAAAACTTTATCTTAACGTTTAGTATTGTTAAGTTAATAACTTCCTTTAATATTTTAAGAGATTTTAGTAACCATAATAACTCAATAAACTCAGTCTTTATCTTATCTTAAAGAAGAAAACTATTTATAGAGCTATTTAAGCAAGAGTTTTTATTACCCAATAGTAGAAAGATCCATTGCATGATAACTCAATAAATTTAACTACCCACTCGCAATGAAATTAAAATGCAATTTACCGAACTACTCAGCGAGTTACCCAACTGATCAACTGATCTGCTCATAAAATGCAATTAAACCACTTGGCATTCGCTACCAACGATTAGTCTCAAGAGTCGCTTGCATATTAAAGTGATAAAACTAAACCCCTGTCTTTTCTACTCTTTTCCAGTCAACCGAGGAGCGGCTTAAGTGAAAGGCAGACAAAAGCCAACGAACCCGGGAGTCGGGAGCAAAACCAGACAGTTGGCAAACGGATTACGCACATCCTGTAGCTCAAAAAGCCAGCCAGCCAAGCTATCAAGCCACAATGTCTAAGCACACGGACAACGATAATCTGCGCAATGACATCTACGAAAATCTTCCCTGTCAGGCGATGTACAACGATTCGGTGCGCAAGATGCAGCAGCAGAAATCTTCATCCACAACGACGACGGCCAATCCCAATGCCAACTGCATTTCTGGACCAGCTACCAACAACCAGCTGCCCAAAGAGATGTTGTATGCCACACCGCTGCGAAAATCGGATCGCTACAAGAGCGGCGAACGGAGTCGCTCCTCCGGAAATCCTGCGGAGACCAAGCTGTCCAACTTTCGGGACTCCAATCGACTGGCCAGCGCCCGCAACGGAAATCCCGTTCAGATCACTGATTTAGATGCGGATGAGGACGATAACCAGGTGGATGGCTGTGCCTCGGGTTCCAAGTACAATCGAAATGAGCAGCAGCAAGGCGGCACTACAGCCAACCAGCATTTGGAGGATCGGCGCATCCTGAACTTCCTCAAGGACACCACTCAGCTGCAGAAGAAGCTGGAGATCACGGGTCGCGATTGTCCCAATGCCAGTTTTTCAAACCTGGCGAGGGAGGAGCACTTTGCCAACCTGGTGCAGCAGAATTTTCCCCAGGATGTGGCGCATCATTCAAATGGGGAGGTGAATGGAGGATCAGCACCCGAGGAAGATGGTCAGGAGGCAGCGGGTGGGTTAAAGCCCCAGCCATCTGAAGATACCGATGGCAACCTGGAGGCTCTGATGCAGCGCAAGGTGTCGCCGGACAAGGAGGTCAACGGACTGGTTCACCACGGCGGCCTGGAGCCGAACAATCGGATTGTGAGCACCGTTTACATTCATCGCGAGTGGGTGCTCAAGAAGATTGCCCTCTGTTTGGAGCAGCGAACGGCGGGCAAGAAGCCGGTGCCGGTGGCTTTGGGAGCAGCCTCCTCCAGTTATGTTTCGGCCCGGGCCAAGGCGGCGGCCATCTCGAGTTCCAGCTACAATGGCTGTCTCGTCTTGGGTTCAAATGGCTCTGGGAAGACCTCCATCTGCCAGGCCATCATGAAGGGCAACTCCGGGACCAAGGGCATACTGAACAGGAAGCTGCTGGCCTGCTACCTCATCGAATCGCAGAATCCCGAGTGCCACAGCCTCTCGCTCTTCATGCGAAAGATCGTGCTGCAGCTGCTCAGCCATGCCTCGCTGATCAGTCGCGATGAGAGCCAGCGGATCATCGACGAGGGCTTCTCCTTCCTGCGCGACGAGGCCCAGCAGCAGGAGTTCAAGCTGGACGAGGCCATGAACAACATCAGCATGAGCGAGAATGCCGAGGAGCTGCTCATCGAGGAGCTCAAGAGGGGAGCGAATGAGTTAGACACCAAGGAGCTGGACAACTTCCAGTCGCAGCGCACCTCCACGGTTAATAAGGCGACCAGGTCGAGCCTCACACGTCAGCAATCGGAGCCGGCTCCATTGCAGATCCTCGATGCGGAGGCAGTGAATACGGAAGAGAAGCCTGGCAGTAATTATGGCACTCATCCACCCAAGCGTGCCTCCCGGGAAAGGGGAGGTGATAACGAGCAGGACAAGGACTTGGGCAGCGAAAAGGAGCAGCAAAGGGAGCCCAAGGATCCTGTTAAATCTTCGCCTGCCAAGAGCAAGTCCAAGATTCCCGTGAAGCGAGGTCGTTCCGGCAGTGGAGTGCTCTCGCCCTCGAAGCTGGCCACGATTAGCAATGGCGGCGGTCAGTCCATTCAGCAGGGCGGTGGCGAGGATATAGCCGATCTTAGTACCGATCAGGAGAAGCACGAAATCGAGGCGGCCATCAAGGATGACAAAGTGGAGGAGGCACAAGCTCCTCCCAAGATCTCCGAAGAAGATAAACCGGAGGCGGATAAGGAGCTAAATGAGATACTCAAAGAGGAACTAAGCAAGGAAGAAGAAACCAAGGAAGGATCCGCTGAACCTTTGATTGATTTCACCGAGACCAAAGTGAATGGCAAACCGGAAAAGGAGAAGGAGGAGGAGGACAAGGAGGAGGAACCACAGCTGCAGGCACCTCCAGTGCCAGGTGAGAAGCCCCGGATGAGCACCAATACTCTCCCACCACCGCTCCCGAAAACAAAGAGCTGCCGCACCATCATAGCCGATGGCTACTACGAACTGCTGCTCTCCAATCCGGAGATCCTCGAGTGCCTCAGTGTGGACAACATCGAGAAGAATCCGGACGAGTGCTTCAAGAAGGCCTTCCTGTTTCCCCTGCTGGAACTGACTCCTCCAAAGACAGCGTTACTCCTGCTGATAGATTCAATTGACGAAAACTACATCAACGAGGGCAACCTGATCTCCACTCTGAAAGGAGGCAGGGGCACAGCCACCAACCACAAGAGTCGCAATGTGGCGGAGCTCCTCTCGAATCACATTCACCTCTTTCCCAAGTGGCTATTCCTGGTCTGCACCACCAAGAAGCAGACCAAGCAGATCACCAAGATGTTCACGGGCTTCAAGAAGATCACCCTCGATGATTTGCGCAAATCGCATGTGGTCAAGGATGTGCAGGAGTACATCATCAATCGACTGAACTCGGACTTCAAGGACAGCATCATGCTGACCAAGGAGATCATTGAGTCGCTCCACCAGCTGTACATCAAGTCGAATGGTTGTATCTTGTATCTGGAGAAGGTTCTCCATGGCATCAAGGATAACTTCTTTAGTTTCAGGGAGATCAAGTTGATTCCCTGCACCCTAAATGGTCTTGTATTTGTACATCTGCCAGAAGTCCTTTAACAAGAAGCAGTACATGAAGATCCGTCCTTTGTTGAATGTCCTGCTGGCCTCCTCCGGTTACGTGGACAAGCTCTTCCTGTTCAACTGCCTGCGCACCCACAACTACACCATCGATTGCCAGGAGTTCGAGAAGCGTCTCCAGTTGATGCGCAACATCCTGGCCTACGACTCGAATGCCCAGCGCCTGAAGATCTTTCACAACTCCTTTGCCGATTGGCTGGTCGATGTCAAGTTTGCCACCAAGAAGTTCATCTGCGACGTGAACGAGGGCCATGTGATGATCTCCATGTACTATCTTCTGGTTGCCGACACACTCTGTGCAAATACGGTGCGTCGGTTTGCCTACCATCTCATCCGATCGGGCGAGTATCTGACCAGCCGGCATGTGGATATGGATCTCATCCTGATGCTGCTGGAATCGAGGCTTAACCTAAGCGACTGCTTCTACACGAACCAGATGAACTGCTGTGCCCAGTGCGAGCATGACTTCAAGTACGACATGAACTTTTTGCCCAAGACGCGGGCCATGTTGGAGCGATTCCTGGCCAGCGAGCTGAGCGAACCCTTCGCCCAGTTCCTGTGCGATTTCTTCAAGCCCAGTTTGCCCACGGATGCCAAGATGCTGAAGCTGCTCATCGAGACGGGCATTAATAACGCTGAGTCGCAGAACTCCTGCGAATCCTCGCTGATGTCGCCGGAACTCTCGGAGAAGTCGCAAAACATAGACTTTGAGCTGGCCGACCTCCTGTTGTCCAGCGAGAAGAGCTGCCTGCTGGAGACGCAGCGGGCAGGCAGTCCCTCGGAGCACAGTGAGCCGCCGGCGGAGAGCCAGGACGAGAATGCCTCGAGCACTTTGCACCAGCTGTCCGATTCGCATCACATTGAGCTGCACAAGGGCAAGGCCCTCATCCACATCCTGGCCAACGATGGCAATCACCAGTTGCTGGAGAGGGCTTTGAATGCCTGCAAGAGTCCCATCGATCTGGAGATTGAGGATTACAACGGGCAGACTGCCCTGAATATAGCCGCTAGGAATGGCCATTTGGAGGTGGTGAAGCTACTCTTGAGCTTCTCGCAGCCCTGCAACGATGGAACTGGGCGGATGAAGCGGGTGGATGTCAACCATGCCGATCGCGATGGCTGGACACCGCTGAGATCGGCCTCCTGGGGCGGCCACAGTGAGGTGGTCCGTTTGCTGATTGCCCAGCCGGCGTGTAAAATCGATCTGGCGGATAAGGAGGGACGCACTGCATTAAGAGCCGCTGCCTGGAGTGGCCACGAGGATATCTTAAAACTACTCATCGAATCGGGTGCGGATGTCAACTCGGTGGATCGTCAGGGACGCACTTCCCTGATAGCCGCCTCCTACATGGGTCACTACGACATCGTGGAGATTCTCCTGGAGAATGGAGCTAATGTGAATCACTTGGACCTGGATGGACGCAGTGCTCTATGCGTGGCCGCCTTGTGTGGCTCCTCTGGTTACAGCAAGGTCATCTCCACGCTCCTCGATCACGGGGCCAACACAGATCAGCTAGACAACGATGGCATGTCGCCGCTGCTGGTCAGCTCCTTCGAGGGCAACGCCGAGGTGTGCGAGTTGCTCCTGGAGAATGCCGCCGATCCGGACCTGGCTGACTTCATGGGACGCACTCCTTTGTGGGCCGCCTGCACGGCGGGACATGCCACCGTAGTCAAGCTGCTGCTCTTCTGGGGCTGCGGCATCGATTGCATGGACTCCGAGGGACGAACGGTGCTCAGTATTGGCGCCGCCCAGGGAAATGTGGAGACTGTGAGGCAGCTGCTCGATCGGGGATTGGATGAGACGCACAGGGATAACGCGGGCTGGACACCGCTGCACTACGCCGCCTTTGAGGGATTCCACGAGGTGTGCCTGCAGCTGCTGGAATCGGGTGCCAAGATCGATGAGTGCGACAATGAGGGCAAAACCGCCCTGCATTTGGCCGCCCAGGAGGGAAGGCTCCACTGCGTTCAGGCGCTGCTCGACATTCACTCCAGTTTCGTGGATCAGAAGGCTCATGATGGCAAGACTGCCTTTAGGCTATCCTGCTTAGAAGGCCACATGGACACCGTGGAGTTCCTGCTTAAGTTCTGCTGCGATGTCAACTCCAAGGACGCCGACTCGCGCACCACTCTCTACATCCTGGCACTCGAAAACAAGCTGGAGATCGTGAAGTATCTGCTGGACATGACCAATGTGGATGTGAATATACCAGACAGCGAGGGGCGAACGGCGCTGCATGTGGCCGCCTGGCAGGGTCATGCCGATATGGTCAAGACCCTGATCGAGGCCGGAGCGGATGTGAACTCCATGGATCTGGAGGCCCGCACGCCACTGCATTCGTGCGCCTGGCAGGGCAACCACGACGTGATGAACATCCTGCTCTACTACGGAGCTCTGGCGGATCACGCCTGCAAGCAGGGAGCCACTGCGCTGGGCATTTCCGCCCAGGAGGGCCACGAGAAGTGTGTGATTGCCCTGCTGCAGTTCGGAGCAAATCCCTACAAGTCGGATCACTGCGGACGCACGCCCATCAAGCTGGCGGCCAAGTCGAGTCGCACCAGCATCCTGAAGATCTTCGAGAGCTACACCAAAAGTAAGAGTCTAAAGTCGCGCAGGAGGAGCTTTCTCTGTTACTAATGCTTTCCCTTTTGTCATTCCTTATCCTTTTTCCTAGATGAAGCTAGCAATCCCAACGAGCCCAAGTTCCATGCCCATGCCAGCATGCTGAGATCTCCTGATCAGCCGCCTGCTCTGCCGCTCCACCAGAATCTGGCCCCCTATCCGGCCCATGCCTCCGCCTCCTCGGTCTGTTCGGCGGCCACCACGGCCACGGTGCACAATGGCAGCCACCTGCACGTCCTCAATGCCTCCAGTTCCACGCACAGCTCGAACAACTTCTACCAGAACACCATGCAGTCGGACACGAGCAGTTTGCACAAGCGCAAGAGCGTCATCTCTAGTCAGTCCACGGGCAGCAGCAATGATGTGGGTATCCTTTGGGGTTTCTTTGATATGTAATTCAAGTATTAATCCTTTGCAAATCTCTATAGCAAGCGCCGCTTACCTTCACCCAGCAATTGCAGCGACAAAGCAAACTGAGCTCACGCAACAATCTGATGGTCAACTCGGAGCATGCCTCCAGTTCGGGAGCGGCAGGACACAAATCCAGTGGCGGTGGTGGTGGAGGCGGAGGTGCCCAGCGGCACTCGCAGGTGCTGCCCGATCTCAGCGAGCATCAGCTTGGTAGGTTCAATATAATTATACCCGTTACTCGTAGAGTAAAAGGGTATATTGTATTCATGCAAAAGTATGTAACAGGGAGAAGGAAGCTTTTCCGACCCTATAAAGTATATTTGTTCTTGATCAGGGTCACTAGTCGAGTCGATCTAGCCATGTCCGTCTGTCTGTCCGTCCGTCTGTCTATCCGTCCGTCTGTATGAACGTTGAGATCTCGGAAACTACAAAAGCTATAAGGTTGAGATTTCCCTCACATCTTCTTGGGCTTTCTAAGCAGCGCAAGTTTATTTCAGCCGAGCGCCACGCCCCCTCTAACGCCCACAATCGCCCACTAACAATTTTAAAATGTGTCTGGCGCCCACACCCTTAAAGATTTCCAAGAAGCATAAATGCAATTTTGTTGTGTATATTTATACCTATCGAAATGTAGAAGACATTTTTCAAATCGGATTATTTATTTAAAAGTTATGCGTAATCAAAATGTTATATGTCCATCTCCCTCGCACACCCCTTAGCTGAGTGACGGGTATTCTCTCTTGTTTTATCACCTAAAACTAAAGCTAACTCGTATGTCCATCCAAACAGCATCCAACATGACCAACGAGGCGGATATGTACGACATGGAGTGCATGTCCCCTCTATATGCCACGCCCCCGCATTCGCCTAGCAGCGAGTTGAGTTCACCCGGCCAACTTCCGGGCCTGAATGCCTTCGCGGACGACGAGCGGGCCGGAACTAGCGGTGCAGGTGCCAAGCTGCCGGATAATCACTTCGCGCGGGACACGCACATGCGTATAATTCTGGGCAACCTCAAGGAGAATCAGCCCAGCTCCTCGGGGTGAGTAATGCTTTTCAATTGAATAATTTCCGGAATTAAATATTAATTTAATATTACGATTCCCCGCAGCAAAAGCAAGCGCAGCGGTGTATCCAGCAATCCGGCAATGCGGCTCATCCGCAGTCGCTTCGATGCCGCCTCCCAGTTGATCCGGCGCACCAACAACATACTCTCCTCCAGCAGCAATCAGGGCTCTTCGAGCATCAGCGTCAAGTCGGGCACCTTCCAGTGGCGCAAGGAGAGTCAGATGTAAACACCACCAAAACACCCAATTGCATACTCACCCCTTAAAACCTAATTTATTTGTACTTTTGATAAAGTATTTGTTTTTTGTGATAGTTTCAATTTTAGTAAACTTTTTAATATGTATTCTCTGATTTAACTAAATATATTTAGGCATACTACCTACAAATACGAAGTAGTTTAAGGCATGCTAAACACCCATATATAGAATACTTCATTACCATTTTTGGCATGCGAATTGTAGCAGATTCTTCTTCAATGTAGCGAAAAAAAAAAAAAAACTAACGAAATTTGAAATAGATCGACGACGACGACACGAATGTATACTTAAGAGAGCGCTCAGACCACAGCACTGTTCTCAGAATTAATTTTAAAGTATTTATTAAATCACCTTGGCTTATAATTTAACTATAATTACAATAATTTACGCTGGATCAGGACGACTTCCTGCTCCGAAAGCCATACTACTCCAATGCGCATTTATTGGCAATCGGCTATAGGAATGTAATTTATTTATACGAGCTACTTTTACAATTACTTCTGCTTACGTCAATTCCTTTAAATGCAGTACCCCAAAGTACCAAAAACCCATTATCCCTTCCCTTCACTCGAAGATCCCAGAGATACGATATATGTGTATTATATTGCTCGCACCCTGAACTCAAAGCGGTCCGTTCCTGTACCTAAACACTTGTCACTAATTTTATGTAACCCTTAAGCCGGACACACCAATCGAATACGAGAATACACAGCAAAGGCATTAATTAAATATTTTCTGAAACTCTACTCCCCACTGCAAAGCAGCAAATCACACAGATCACAGAAACACACAGAAAACAACGCACTGGGCTAAATCCAAAATGGAAAAAACGAAAGAGAAAAGTTGAACAGCGAAATGTTAATGAACAGAACAAAAAGAACCTAATTAATTGTTAACGAAACCTATAAAATACCGCAGAATACAATTGTTTAGATATACATAAATATATATATTTCAAAAGCATATTTACAAGTTAATGATCAGAGTTATTCAAAGTATCATTATTATAATCATAATAGCTAACCGAACAGACTAAAATACAATCCGCAGAGATACACACACTACACAAAACAAAACAACAAAATGCATGAGGGGTCGAAACCAAAGATAAACATTTACATTTGGAAGTAATATACACATGATACCTATACCTAACTTATAACTATATATATATATATGAGAATATGTACTTATACATTGTAGTGTTGTAGTTTTGAAAAAGGTTGCGATGAATTATTGACAAACAAATTGATACAGGAACATTTACAGAAAATTCTGAGTGTGTTGAAGTTAAACGAAGATAACAACTTTTTGAGCGAAGCGACGAATAACGAAGCATATACATACATATATAACTCTGAATCTGAATAAACTGTATATTCATACAAATAAGTTTAAAGTCTTTTTTAATATTCTTCGAGGAATGTGTACGCTGTCTACTTGCTGCTGGTGTCCACCAGTATCTTGGGATTGGCCACATGGAAAACACTGGGCACCATTCCGGCCAGAGTGGTGAACAAGCTCTCCGATATGTCATCAGGCAGTAGCAGTTGCAGGGTGCTATAAGAATGGTAGGGTAATTTAATAAGAGGCCCAACAAAATAGCAAGAACTCACCTCAATTCAGCGCCTCCCCAGGAGGCAGACTCGATCATAAATCCCTTGGCGCACTTGAAGACCAACTCTGCCCGGCGGATGCACCACTGGACGGTCATGTCCTCGCTCATCTCGTGCCGCAGCAGTGCCGGAATGGTCAGCGTGGTTATGTCATGCCGGCTGGCTGTCTTTAGAATGTTCCTCAATCCCAAGATCACCGGATGCCGCGAGTTAATCTCACTGGGACTGTTAATCGGTTCATCTGAGATCAGATGAAATATGACATGCGTCTGCGAGAGATTCGAGTGCTTGGTGATGAAGAAGTCGCCCGTTTTCAGCCTGGGCGCGCCCTTCTTCGTCGGCGAGGGTGTGGCACTGCCCTCGGCACTGCTGTTGCTATTGCTGCTACCACTCGAATCCCCGGTACTCAGATTCTTAATCTGATTTTCGATCTTCTCCAGCTGAACATCGATTTGCTCGAAGTGAAACTCGGTGGATTTGTTGGCATTCTTGATGATATTCTTGTTGGCCTGCGTCTGAATCGAAGGAGTCAAGACGACGACACCACAGAGGGAACTAGAGTACAATCCCAGAGCCATATTCAGGCCATTGAGGCTCTCCTCCGCGTGCAGTGGACTGCAGAGCTCCGTGACATTCGCACTGAGGATGCGTATGTTGTGCATGTGCTTTAGCTGGGAGCCCAGATGAATGGTGAAGCTCTCCTCCATCGAAGGCTGTTGCGAGACGAACATGGAGGAGCGATTTCCCAGCGGTGTGGCCACCGGGGAAACCTGAAACATCTGACTGACTTGACTGGTAATCCAATCCCTATACTCGTTCTTCTGGTGACCCATCATCGCCTCCAGCTCCGATTCGTAACGCTTGCGCACAAAATTCTGGGTGGTGTACTGCTGGGCCAGCAGATTATTGATATCCTCCGAGGTGGTGGTGATATCTAATTGGTTGATTTGGCTATCCATCTCCTGCTGCTGCGAGTTGTTCAGCGTCTCCACCTCGCTGTCCATGTGCTCGGTCATGTCGGCCACGACCTTGGCGTAGGTTCGCTCCCGCTTGAGGATGTCCTCCAGGGAGGAGGAATGCACCAGCCGGTGGAAACTCTGGGCGAATATGTCCGCATCACTGGGCCCAATGCGATCGGCAAACTGCAGCAGCTCCTCCTTGTACAGCCGCTCCGTGTCGCGCACAACGACCTCGATGTCCAGCTCCTCGTTGGCCGCCTGATTGAGCAGCTTCTCGGCATAGTCGTCCAGGAACTTTTGCTGCTCCGTGTCCACGAACTCCTGCAGCTGCTTCTCCAGATCTAATGGGGATATTTAGGAGTGTTTTCTCTACTAGTTTATGCCACTACTCACTGATATTCTCGTCCAAAAACCGCATCATTGGATCCATCTGGGAAGGAGCCATCAGCTGGGTCACGCACTCCTCCAGATTCTCCTGGTCGAAGGGAAAAGTGATGTCCAGCCGCGATTCGCAGTCTTGGCCCTCATGGTTTTTGTACTTGTACACAAACGGCAGGGTGCGAGTGGCAGTGGAGTCCATTTCGGGGCCTTTAGTTGGTTTCCTAGTTAGTTAAAGTCATTAAATCGCAAGTCAACGCCCCCTTCCAAACAACAAATGCAATTAGTATGACCGCACTGCGACCGCTTAAATATACCACGGTTAATTAATCTTAAGTTAGCCAGGACCCAAACCAATTCAATGGAAATACACTGCACGAAGATGACCAAATATATGCTGTTCATTCGATTTCTGGTCAATTTAAATTGTATTTTGGTCTGGCGTTCCACAATTTTTGGCTCAGTTATCTATTAGACTGTCACAAAATGACACCTCAAATGTATACCTACTTTCAATCAAATTATTGAAGCATGCGAAACTTATTCCAGTTTTGCATAATAAACTGGTGATAGCAAAATGGGCATGTTCCCAAAACTTAATTTTGAAAAATTGTTTCCCAATCTCAGTGCTGTTAGACGCAAAACCAGCTGTTACATGAGCACTGTTATCATTACTGTTATCTTTTCCCGGTGTGCACACACTGGTGCTAATTCAAATTCAAAATAAAGCCAACCCTTTAAAATAAAAACTGATTTATATTCGTTTTCTGCAATATCTTTATTCAAAAATGTAAAAAATAAAAATCAAATAATAAATGAACATTAGTCATATATTTACGCCGATTTGAAGGGGAACTCGCTGAAATCTTCTCCATTCTCGAGTGCGCAGACCACCTGAAAGTTACAACTTTTGCCGATTTTGGGATCTGCGGAGGATAACTTACCCTTTTCGTTTTCGGAGGGAATCGAGAGGAATACCGAGTCCCATCGACGGGGCTGCAAAGGACCTTCCGTGGCTGCTTTTCAGTAGCGCGGCGGCCGTCTTTCAGCGCTTCGCATACTTTTCACAGCCAACTTGCAACAGAAATTACAATAATATACATGGTTGTAAATGACATGGTACAGGTGGTGGTTGTGGTGGTGGTGGGCAATTCAAATAAACGGGGAGAATGAAACCTGTTAGGCGAGTAACAAGACTCAAGAACTCTCGAATGATGTTAATGGCCCGCCCACAACGAACGCTAAAGAATTTCTTGGCTGGCTTTTGGACTCGGTCCTACTTGCTTGCTCTTTTCCTTTTTTCTTTACCTCTCCAATATACATACTCCTCTTTTTCTGATCGAGATCCTTCTTCCTGCTGCTGTGGCTACAAAAAATATACAAAACTACGTGGCTTAGCTAAATAGTTTTTGGTTCGGTCGAGAGAGTTTACATGAAATTGCTGGATGCTTTTGTATTTTTTGAATCTTGTATTTTTTTTCGCTACATTAAAATGTAAATTTCGTTAAACATAATTGCGCTGACACCTCTGACAGACTGCTTGCTAAAAGATATAGATTACATTAAGTGTTTGTTGGTTGATCGGTTACATCTAAACAGCGGGGGATAGGTTAATTCCTCCACACACGGACGGGTTCGCTTAGAACCCGAATAGTAAAATTATTAAGTCTAGGGCAGCGTGCGGATGGATGCCGAAAAGATCGCCCCGCACGCTCTACTCGATTTAATTCTATGAGAACTTAGTCTAGTGAAGTCGTAAAATGTAATACATGGTTTTTTTTAATATTTTGTTTTTTTGTTTTCTGCTCTGATTATCAAAGGTTGCCAGCAGCCGATGGACTGGAGCTGTGTCTACAATACAAATAAACATTTCTCTCGGCTGCCGCCTCGAAGTTTTACATTAGCTGATTCATTTATGGCTGGGATTAAATAGGTTGGTTGTGTGGAGATACAAATGTTTGGCCTGTTGACGTCGGTGGCCTTATTTTTTCTTTGTTTTGCTTTGCTCTAATTACAATGTTACTTATGTTGGTTGCTTGGTTGCTACAATGTGAAGTTATAGATTACAATTCTATTCGGTATTGGATAGTTATCGATGCGCCTCTTAATAATCAATCAATCAATCAATCAGCATGTGCAAACACAAATCGAATGGAATCCTGGCCAGCTGCTGTGTACGTGTACTGCCACTTGCTGTGTGCGATCTGCAATCTGCGATCTGGGATCTCTCTGAATGATTAGTTGTTACACTCTTCTGCTTAGCTCACACACTGCTCTGCTCTGTACTGTACTGTACTGCTGCTGTAATGGACTGGTACTGGTACTGATCTCTCTGTTTCTCTGCTCTAATCCAAGTCTGAACCAAACTCCTTACGACTGCACTGCACTGATCCTGATCAATCAATCTCCTCTCTTCTCTTCTGTCATGTTTGGTTTGGTTTGTGGTGCTCGGAAAACTTCTTAGGTCTATGAACGTGCGTTCATACTCGTTATTGATCATTGAATTGCGTATCGTTTACTTGACTTTGAATTTTGGGCTTATACTGAGCGACTTTTACTTTATCACCTATAAAATGTCGATAAATGAGAAACGTTATTTAAAACAATTGGTATGCAGAAGGGGGGGTTGTTCTTAATTGGTTGATGGGCATATTGGTTCTCTAAATACTTTTTAAGAGTAAATATACGTAATTAATTAACTAAGTTGGTTGAGTAAGGTGGGTCGGACTGTCTGAGCCAGTTTGCTTTTTTGCATCAGTCCCAATTAAGCTGTTACAAACTACCAAAAAAAATAATCAAAGTAATGCCGATAAGGGCGCTATTTAAAAACAAACAACAAAAAAACCATACGTTTGTCAAATCAAACGAAAGGTTAATGGTTATAGATTAGCGGTTGGTTTGGTTAATGTTCTGACTTCGCCTTTGACTATAACTAGGTGTTAATAGTGGTTATGGGATGTCTCACCTCGTCTGGTATCTCTCTCAATATCTGCGGTTGTTGCCACCGTTATTGAAGCCCTGATTGTTGCCGCCATAGTTGCCTTGATTGCCACCGCCTAAAAGAAAACCCAGGATCGTTAGGAAAACATCCAAAACTCTCTTGCTTTCTTCTCTAAACTCTAAGCCACACTGGTGGCGACTATTTGTACAACAAAAATGTAACGTGGCTGCGTGTTACGTCGTATTGGGTTTATCTTTCATACGCATAACATAGCGATGGCCATCGTCAGTTAATCTCACAGTATTTTTAAAAGCTAACTGCCAAACTCTATCGACGTTCTAACAGTTAGGTGTCAGGGTACTGTGTCTCGTTATCCGGTGGTTATTTATCAATGTTCTTGCGGCTGCTCACCTGCTTTGAAGTTGCCACCGCCTTGATAGGGCTGCATCCTATTGCTGTTGAAGTTGCCGCCACCTCGCTGAGGGCCGCCGCCGTAGTTCTGCTGGTAGCCACCAAAGTCATTGCCACCACCGTTCCAGTTGGAGCCACCGCCACCGCCAAAGTTGCCGCCGCCATTGCCATTGTCCCACGGGTTGTTGTTGCCCCAGCTGTTGTTGCCACCTCCGTAGCCGCCGCCGCCACCGAAGCTGTTGTTGCCCCAGTTATCGTTGCCTCCGCGGTTGTTGCCCCAGTTGTTGCCACCGCCATTCTGCAATATCAATTAAAAGCAGCTATAAAACGGAATGTACAAATGAAAAACCCCATAATGGCACTTACCCAGTTGCCTCCTCCATTCTGGTTGCCATAGTTGCCGCCACCGCCGCCCATGTTGCCGCGGTTTCCGCCGGCACGACCTCCGGGACCACCGCGTCCTCCACCACCGCCGCCTCCCTGCTGGTCATTCTGCTTGGGCAGGGCCTTCTTCACGTCCACCATTTTGCCATTCAGCTGATGCTGCTTTTGCACTGCAATAAAGAAGGCAGAAGGGCTATTAATAGGGTCCAAAAATAAAATACCCCGGGTGGTGCATCCAGTTTATAGTGTGCCATATACTCTTTCATCGCTGGCTCACCGAGAAGCACCAACAACAATAATATAATACTGGCTGGGATTTCATCTTACAGTCGCAAACGCCGCATGAGCACATTAAACATTGCTATGCGGAGCTGGGACTGTGGAATTGTGACTAAAATTAGAATGCTGAGGTTGTCTAAAAATTATATAAGGCATTCTGTCACTAAGGAATTTAGAAATTATCTATATATATTTAAAACTATTTAAAATTGTAACGAGGCTGCGTGTTACACAGAATTGGTTTCTAATATACATTCGTATAACATAGCTTAGCCGACGCTCTAATTTATCTCACAGCGTTTAAAAAAAAAAACTATTCAGGTGATGGTTTCGAACCTGTCAATTTGTCAGTACTGTAACTTTATTTAATATTAATCCAGTTGTTAGTGTGCCAAATACTCTTTCATCGTTGGTACATAGAAAAGTACCAACAACAATAATATAATACTGGCTGGGATTTATTCTTACAGTCGCAAACGCCGCATGAGCTCATCAAACATTGCTATGCGGAGCTGGGACTGTGGACTTAATTATATATTGTAATTAATGGAATTGTAACGAGGCTGCGTGTTACACTGAATAGGGTCAAAATTTACATTCGCATAACATAGCTTAGCCGACGCTTTTATTCATCTCACAGTATTCCAAGGAAAACTATCCAGGCGTCGTTATCAAACCCGTCAATTTGTCAGTACTGTGATTGATCTAGAGTCTCTTTAAAGGAATACCATTTATTTCAAGGTGATAGTGTGCCAAATACTCTTTCATCGTTGGTACACAGAAAAGTACCAACAACAATAATATAATACTGGCTGGGATTTCATCTTACAGTCGCAAACGCCGCATGAGCTCATCAAACATTGCTATGCGGAGCTGGGACTGTGGATCTAGATCTAATTATCAATTCAAATTTATGAAACTGTAACGAGGCTGCGTGTTACACTGAATTGGGTTGTAATCTACATTCGCATAACATAGCTTAGCCGACGCTTTGATTTGTCTTAGGGCCGGTTTCTCGAGTGCCGGCTAACATTTCTCGAACAGATAAAGTCCCTGCTAAGGCATTTTGGCTTTCTCGAGCATAAATGTGAGAGCTAACTTTGACAGGGACTCGGAGTCTCTGTTAAGCGTTTTCGACTCGATAGAATGACAGCTGATTTCCCAAAGCCAACTATGAAGAAGAAACGAAATCACAGCTGACTTTTCCTTTAAATTATACCCAAACAGCTGATGAAATAATCGAAGCATGCCATTTTTTGCGCTTCACAGCACAATTCTGTGCGTTAACAGCACTCTGTAATTGTTTCTCGTTCAGATAAATTAAAGCAGTCGAGAAAGCGGATTTGCTTTTACGAACAGTTTATCTGGTATTTAAGTTTTTCGAACAGATAGCTATCAGGGACTTTGACAGGGACTCGAGAAACCGGCCCTTACAGCGTTAAAAGTAAAACTGCCCGGGCGTTTACAAGAAGCCCGACAATTTGTCAGTGCTGTGCGAGTGTAAAGATAATTAGGGGTTGTTTTAACCCGGAGGCCATTGTGGCACATACATTTTCATCGACTGCACATAGGGGTGCACAGTCAACAAAGATATAATACGAGCCGGTTTTATCTTACAGTCGCAAACGCCGCATGAACACATCGAACATTGCTATGCGGAGCTGGGACTGTGAAAGAGTGGGTATTTATCTGGTAGAATCCTAGGTTTACTATCTTTCTGAGCTATTTATCTTGAGGAAATACTTCTTTTACCTAACAAAATGTTACTTTGTATGATATAGGGTTTCCTAACTAACTTAAAAAACTATGTACATCATAGAAGATGGTACTGTACCGATCTTAAGAGGCTACTTTCTATTATAGACAGTCGTTTTAAGGATAATCCCCCTACTTACACACAACTTTGTCAACCGGATCGTAGTCATCGAACTCGACGAAGGCGAATCCTCGCTTCTTGCCCGTCTCCTTGTCCATGACGATGTTGATGTCGACGATGTTGCCAAAGTGCTGGAAGTAATCCCGGATGCTCTGCTCATCGTGGTCGTCCTTGAGGGCGCCCACGAACAGTTTCTTGACGGTGGCTCCGGCGTTCGGGGAATCGATGTCCTGGCGGGGAACAGCCCGCTTGGGCTCGACCACGCGGCCGTCGATCTTGTGGGGACGCGACTTTTGCGCCTCGTCAATCATGCTCGAGTGGGAGTAGGTGATGAAGCCGAATCCACGGGAGCGCTTCGTCCGGGGATCCTTCATGACCACCACGTCCACGATGTTGCCCCATTTCTCGAAGTGACCCTTCAGGTTCTCGTCGGTGGTGCGGTAGTCCAGCCCACCGATGAACAATTTTCGCATATGCTCCGGCTCGGTGATGGAGTCCTAGAGGAAAATGAAGCAAATAAATAAATTATTGATTTTCTATTTTTTTTTCACTTCTTCCAGCTACCCAACCTAACCTCACTTTCAGCCCCCCTGAGACACATGCGTAATTTTCAAAATGGCGGCCGGTGAGGTGAGACACCAGTGCGTAAAAAACTATTAAACCCGTTTTAACCCACTACTTACATCATCGTGGCCATTGGAGTTGCCGTTCTGGTTCGAGTTGTTCACCATTTTACTACTTTAAGCGTTTAATTAGCCGTGCTCTAACTAATTTTCCCTTTTAGAAAATGGAGAAAGTTCCTGACACACACGCGTCGATTGAAAAAAATTTTTTGAATGGTGTGACCGCGGAGTGAAGAACAAATAATGGCGTTCGGCTGCGAAATTAATATAACATTTTTCTTGACTGTTTTCGTAAACGGTCATACTGAAATGTTAGGTGGGTGCATCCGCTAACTGTTACTATTACAGTTTAACAGAGGTTGCGTCTCAGAAAAGGAAAAATTCTTCTTTTTTTAGCTTTCTGGCTAATTAATTTCTTTAGAATTGCACTTTCTGAATAATTACAACTATTTAGGTGTTATCAGGTGTTCTTAAGAGTAAGAAAAGTTAGCAAGAAAATTTAAAATGAAGATTTGACTATGGATATGTTGAAATGCACGCTTAAAATGATTCCTTACAAAATTAACAATTTCATTATAATTTCAACAAGGCCAGTGCAGAGGACTTTGTTGTACTTACATCGTCGTCGTGCTGCCCGTTGCGTTTGTGGTTCCAGTTGTCGTGACCGCCCATTTCACTGTTCGCTTTGTTCTTTTATGTGCACTGATACTGTTTTTCCTTGTAAAATGGCAGAATGTATGCTGTCACAAGCGTATTTTCTTTTGAATTAAAAAGGTATTGCACTGACACTAAATGCCGTATGTATGTTTTTGGGTAGGGACCTTCACTCTGTGCTTTTAAAGTACAGACGAAGCGACCAAATTTTATAGCTAGATTCCACTTAAATTTTGTTTTATGTATTTTATATTGAATGCAGGAGATGGTTATAAATTTGTAATTACAAAGATAAGTATTTAAATCGAAATTGCGACAAACTAATTGCTTTAATTGTTTTTACTACTTAATTTTGGCTGTTTTTTTAGATGTAGCTAGTTTAGCCTTTTTGGCTAGCTCTAGAAAATACCGACTTGCAAAAAAAACCAACGGTTAATTTGAAAGCTTTTTGTGGTATTTTTCGCCGCACCCAGAACAGTGTGCGCCGCACACGTAAGGAAATTAAGTTTTGTGTTTTTCTAATTTTCTACCAAAATGCCGAAAAAGAAAACCGGCCAGCGCAAGAAGGCCGAGAAGCAGAAGCTGCGGCTCAAGGAGATTCGAAGCAGGGAAGTTTCCCTGGCGGACGTGCCCTGCAATGCGCCCATGGAGTGCGACAAGTGCGAGAAGAAACAGAAATCTCGGGCATTCTGTTATTTCTGCCAAAGTCTGCAAAGACTGCCGATTTGCGCTCAGTGTGGCAAGATTAAGTGCATGCTGAAGACGGGCGATTGTGTGGTGAAGCATCCTGGGGTCTACACCACCGGACTGGGCATGGTGGGCGCCATCTGCGACTTCTGCGAGGCCTGGGTCTGCCACGGCCGCAAGTGCCTCCAGAACCACGCCTGCACGTGTCCGCTGCAGAACGCCACCTGCCTGGAGTGCGAGCGAGGAGTCTGGGAGCACGGAGGCCGCGTCTACAAGTGCTCCTTCTGCAACGGATTCCTGTGCGAGGACGACCAGTTCGAGCACCAGGCCAGCTGTCAGGTGGGTATCCCTTATATGCTCATCCTCATCTTTAACCGGGTCAAGCAATAAGACACCATTCGGACTTTACTCGATATTTGTCCCAGGAACTATTGTAAAGAAATCTATTGAGATCTCAAAAACACTTTTTAGGATTTCTACTAACTAATGTACTATTTGTAAAAGTCGATTAACAACAATTATTAAAAATGCCTATGATAATAGGTTTTAAGTACAATTTAATCGAATAAGATCAAAGAAATCAGATCCTATTTAAACTTTACTTGAAATTTATACTAGGAACCATTGTAAAAAATCTATAGGGATCTTTTAATCACTCCTTAAGATTTCTACTAACTATTGTACCATTTGTAGAAGTCTATTAACAACAATCTTTAAATATGCCTATGATATAATACATTTTAAGTACACTATAATCGAATTAGATCAAAGGAATCAGATCCTATTCAAACTTTACTCAAAATGTACCCCAGGAACTATTGTAAAGTATTCTCAAAAACACATCCTAACACGTTTAATAACTCATTTTAAATGTACTTTTAAAGACTGCAGTTCCTTAACCCAGCAAATGATATATGTAACAGTATTATAGTATTCTATAATCGAGTATAACCAAAATCCTTAAAAGTAAAAAGTATAATTTAATCTTCACACAAATTTGAAAGGAAATCTGTAGGGATTTCAAATTACAAGATTTTGAGTATCTCATCTTAAATGTATCTTTCTTGTTGGGGTATGTTTCAAATTTTCCTTAACTTGAAAGATGATTCGATAGTTTTTAAAGTTCTCTATTATCCGTAAAAAAGTCTAAAAAGTAAAAACTAAAACTAAACAAACCTTTAGTTTATAATATGAAAAGAAGGTCCCGTTTTTCCAACTCAAATACCTTCTCATACTATATATTATATGCAAATCAAGACATTCGCTAATCACCCCTTCAATGCCACTTCCAGGTGCTGGAGTCGGAGAACTACAAGTGCCAGTCGTGCAACAAGCTGGGCCAGTACTCCTGCCTGCGCTGCAAGACCTGCTACTGCGAGGATCATGTGCGTCGCAAGGGCTTCAAGTACGACAAGAACAAGGCCATTCCGTGCCCCAAGTGCAACTACGACACCTCGGTGACCAAGGACCTCAGCATGTCGACGCGTTCGCACAAGTTTGGTCGCCAGCAACAGGGCGGCAACAGCGACGACGAGGAGGGATACGGTGGCTACTACGGAGCCAGTGGCAGTGGCGGTGGCTACTATGGTGGAGCAGCCAGCGGTGGCTACTCCTACGGCGATGATGATGATGAGGATGAATCCGATGGAGATTACGATGATGAAAGCGATGAAGACGACGATGATGATGATGAGGAAGAGGACGAGACCACGGAAAGCGAGCCGGAGAAGGAAACCGACAAGAAGGCCACCAAATAGGGAAGAATTGTTTATATATACACTCGCATTTGGCCTTTTGTAAGAGCCACTGCAGTGAGTGAGTTCTGGGCTGTGCACTCGTTGCTCTGAATGTAATAGTGAAATAAATTCTTTGTCAAATTGTAGAGCTACCTAGTGCCAATTCTGTAAAATGCAACAAGCTGCAAGTGGGCTTTTGCTCTAAAGACGGAAGGTAAAAGTTCCTACCGAAAATTCCTAAAGGGAACTAAGGGTGCGGTGATGGGAATGGAAATGGGCCGAGAGGAGCAATGCCAACCCATACGCATATGATGATGGCGATGCCAACGGCTCTGCCAGCGCCGACTTCTCTCTGTTGATAGACTCATCCATCTCCAATCCACTTACGAGCGCAAATATTTACACAATTTACTCGAAACGGAGGTATGAGCATATAATATTTCCAAAAACGATGGCAAACACACACACAAGAGAGAGACACGCACTTCGGCATTTGGGAATGTTTGGCAGTTAGGCAGAGCGGAACAGCAACAGCAATGGGATGGTTATGATGGGTAGGGGATGTGGGATGTGGGTAGTGGGCTGGAGCAGACCCATCATCAGGCCGAAACATTTTAGGCATTGCAAATCAATGAGCGGCCCGATGGAAGGGAGGAGGAGCATAGTTCTTCTGCATATGAATGAAATCATATGTGGCGTTACTTATGTAGGGGAGTGCGAGGATGTGGTCGGAATGGGAGTTGGTTTGGGTGTGGGTGTGGGTGAGTGGCAGGCAAATCAACTGTGTACATAATACAGATTAGTGTGAGAGGATATTGGGATGCACATACAGCTGTGGTCAAAACAATAGATATAAAGATTACATATAAAGTAAAGGTGATATAATATTTGGGGATTATAGGATTCAAAAGGAAACTCAAAAACCACTACTTGGATTTTATAAAGATAATAATATAATAATTATTTTTAATGTTATTTATAATGCATTAAATTTATATTTAAATAGGATAATATGTAGCACATTAAAATATATTAAAAAGAAGAATAAAGTTCAATATTTTATAACGAATTCTATATTATTCAATTTGTTTATACTGAAGTTATTTAAATAAAATATTTAAATGCTTGCCTTAAGCTTCAAAAATCGAGACTTTTACCTTATATTTTATCTTATTACATTTTAAATTACTCCTACTATTTACATAGCCCCTGCTGTACTTACCCCAGGAACATACTTATGTATAGATCGGAGCCAGCTTAAATATAATGGCTGCCTGCCAGCATTTTGTGTCTGCGTTTCAATCAAAATGGCCTGTCTATTCCGAAGCAATGTCCAAGCCATCGGAGTTAGGGCTACTCAACAAAATTAGAAATGGGGTTGCTTTTGAGGGGGGACTGGATTGGATGGGTGTCGAATATTTCTGGACACTGGGCTGTGGTGGTCACTGCCAAACATCAATAATAATTTCATAAATGTAATCAGAGAGAGGCAAACAAGACCCGAGTCGAGTCACTGTGATTGAGCTCTTAATTGCACTGCGATATTAATCCTTGAGCCGTTGCTTCCCCTTCATCCAGTCAATTTGGCCACTTCCCATCATCACGATGACCGTTTTCATTAGCCGGAGTGCATTCTCAATTACCAGATGGAGTTTCAAGTTATCTAACCCAAGTTGTTTCGCTCACTTCGCTGTGTTTAAAGTCTTTCGGGGATCAGAGGATTCCCAAGAAGAACTCGCTAAACACTAATCACTTCCGATCAGCATTATCTATTGCTTATTTATACCAAAAAACACAAATATTTTTGTCAGCCAAAGTCAAGCCATAAGAAAAACACAGGCTGAGGCTAAGGATTAAGGTGGGAAAATCCTTTGGACAATCCGAAAAACACGTGGAAAAGTCAAAAAGTCCGGCTTAAGGCCGAAACGCAATTAGCGTTAATTACGCTGGGAAACAGCTTCCCATGGTTACGGGTTTGCAGGATGGAGGATGCAGCAGATCCTTGCGGCCACTCGAAGTTTAATTTAATTTTCATCTTGCGGCTGCCGTAACGTCGCTGCCTTCAATTGACTGCGCCAGGGGATTCGATTGGATGGTATCGCTTATATCGCCATATAAGGTGGGTGGTGGGTGGTAGTTCCCAACGTCATCAACAACATCATCATCCACAAGCACTTCGCCATCGACGTTCGTCAAAGCTTGCGATGATTGATGGTGCGTAATTTGGAAAATTAGAACCAGGATACGCAGCAAAAAAGGGGTGGTTCTAGTTTTTTTTTTCCGCTTTCCGTTTTATTTTTCGGCCCCTGCTAATGTTGTTGGCACAACAAGGTGTGTCCTGGTCCGATTGCCGCGTGTCCTGGCCGCCGTTCTCCGCTTGCCGACGCGTGTTTCGCGTCCAACAAAGTTGCGCGTGGTTATTAGAAAACAATTTAATTAAATATTCACTTGAACCGACCAAACGGCAGCAGAGGAAAAAGCGTAGGCAGTGCCAGAGCGATGGGATGGCCTCACTTTCCCATCATAAAGCGCTCAAACAATGTCCATCAATATTAAACGATGTTGTTCGGTGTCCATTTAGAGCGCTGCTCCAGTTGTCCTTGTTGTTTTAGCCGTCCTCACTGGTCCGTGATGTAATGTGAGAAAGTTTTTTGTTTTTCGGTCGAGTTTCCAGCCAGCGGAGAAGGGAAATGGGAAAGAGACCTTTTGGTCTGGGAACGCCTTTGATCTACTTGACCGCGAGG